ATTCGGTCTAAGGTCAGATCTAGGCTTATTACGAAGTACGACCGACTCTCAGGAACACTGCGTGAGAGACACTGCGAACAGAATAGCCTTCCCGAAATCCACCGACCGCAGGAAGATTTAGCTACGAATGATTCCGTGAGTGCAAGGATTACTGCCATTGGTAGCATTCATCTTACGCCATACGCTGTAGAATTTCTTAGTCTCGGACCATCGTTCTCGCCTTCGCAAAACATCACAGCTTCTGTTTGTCGCAAAGTAGTGGGCAGCTTACACAGATTGCGAGACACGTTGAGAATAAGAGCTACGCAGGAAAGCTAACTTCTCATCCCAACGGCCAATCCCTTGTTAACATCGATACCTTTCCCTCGATCTTTCTATAGAGAACCAAAACCAGTGCTTTATGCAGACACGAAGTTTCGCGTACTTTCGACTGAAGTTCTTAAAGTTTTGAATGATTTCAAACGCAAACGTCAAACTAATTTGACGTGAGAACAACGGCAGGGCTTCAAAGATGCGCGATTTGCTCAAGCAACAATCCATCCGTATCTCAGTTAGTGACAAGGGTGGCGAATTTGTAGTAATGCCGCAGTCTTTAGACCGAGAGATTGCAGAATTGCATCTCTCCGACGCGACAATCTACAAGCAAGTGACGAAGCGAGACTTCCAGATGCAATGTAAAAAGTTGAATGAAGTTTGGGTTTCTGTAGCTAGGGCTGCAGGCCTTGATGAAAGGTTAGTTAGCAGGTTAAAGATGGACAATCTGATCTGTCCAGTATTTTATCATCTGGTTAAGACTCATAAAATAGCAGCTCACGAAAATAACTGTATGCCACCAGCAGCCTATAAGGTACGCCCTATAATAAGTTGTGTTAGCGGCCCCACCGACAGAATATCATGGTTTCTCAATAAGATCATAAACCAACTATTACCAAAGGTACCATCGCATCTATCCAATACTCGACAGTTCATGCAAAGGTTGCGGGATACGAATATCGAACACGATAGTGTCATCGAGTCTTTTGACGTAACATCCTTGTACACTAATGTTCAAAACGATGCCGCACTTCAAGCAATGTCAGAGATGTTGGAACTTCACTACAACGATATGGTCACCTTTTGGACTCAGCAAAGCGAGCATACTGACCCTCATCAAGGAATGTCCAAAGTGTAACATCTTTAAATGGTCCGGGAATTACTATTCTCAGATCAGGAGGCTGGCTATGGGTCAACGACTGGCCCCAGCCCTTGCGATATGCTTTATGAGTAAGATAGAGGAGCCAGTACTCGCACGCTTGCCCATAATGTACTGTCGCTACATCGATGATTGCTGTGTGATAACATCGACTCAGTCCGAAATGGACGAATGTTTCGCACTTTTAAACCAGCAATCACAGTACATTAGGTTTACCAGAGAAACCACGACGGATGGGTGGCTTCCTTTCCTGAACACCCAGATAAACTTATCTGGTGGTAGAATTCGGATGAAGTGGTACAGGAAAGTAAGCTTAAAGAATATCGTAATACACGCAAAATCAGCGCACCCTACAGCGACGAAATGTGCAATTATTAAGAACATGTACAGAACAGCTGTAGAAGTTAGCACTGGCGTAGAAGAACGACTTGCATCTACTAGATTGGCTACAACGATTGCGCGCAGCAACGGCTACACAGATCCGAATAACGCTAGACGTCCACGATCTGGTTTATATAGTCAAACTGCACGTACCGACAAGAGAGCCCCACTTTGCATACCTTTCATCTCCGATGAAATGAGTGCAGCTTTGAAACAATGCATTGCGCGAGCACAACTGCAGAATGAGGTTGTACTGGTAAACATCCCGAACGATAACATCAGGAAGCAGTTGGTGCGAAACAGGATATACGATACAGAATGCTTATCAGAGCAATGCATTGTTTGCCCATATGGAAAGGTAGGAGATTGCGCGAAGTCAGGGGTCATATACCAACTAGAATGTTTGAGTTGCAAGGCTTTCTGTATAGGGGAGACGGGCAGAGCATTGAACATCAGAGTCAAAGAGCACTTAGCGAACAAAAGACGAGGGAATTTAGTATCGCCGTTGGGAAAACACAGAGTTGGAGCACATGGCGGAACTGATTTTGAAGTCAAATGTTATATCTTGGCGTACGAGACAGAAATTTCTGCACGAAAGATACTAGAAGCTTTGTGGATCTCTATGAAGAGCCCAAGCATGAACAACAAAAATGAATGCCTAGCAATGACAAGTGATCTTTTGCCCTTTCTATCACTATGTGAACAGTAGCCTGCCGTATATATAGACGTGACACACCGAGTGACACTCAGTGTCGCCCGTCTTCAACATCTGTGCGGCTATCGCCCGCTACTTCCTGCGAACTACTAACATCCTTACTACGGTGGATCAACAGTCGGTCTCCTTTGCCAGCATGCCTCTCTGTACGTTGTGCATGAAACGAGGTCTAGACTCGATAAGTACGGAGATGGCGTTTGGCGGCGTAGTTTCATAGGTCAAGACTGCAATCATCTTTCAGACCTCCGAAGAAGACGACCTTGTCGAAACGTTAGGTCAAATAATGATTCACCGTACTATCTGGGCTTGGCGAAAACATCTACTACATCAAATTTTGAAAGTTACTTACATGAGTCATAAATGTGTGCAGGAGACTTATTTATACTTGTAAGTAGTTAAAATAATGTTTAAAAATTTTCAAGAATTCTAGCTTTATAAAAAAAATTTTTCGGGGCGTGTGTGGGCCCGCGAAAATTTTGATAAGCCTACCAAGATTTTTTTCTGGGGGCGTAGCTACGCCATGCACCTTCATTAAGAAAAATTTTTCACCCCCCCCCCGAGCCAAAATCCTGGGTACGCCACTGGCGTTTACTGAATACGAGGTCATAAAGAATCTCTTCTCTCTTTCTCTTTCTCTCTCTCTCTCTCCCTCTCTCTCTCTCTCTACCCTAATGAGTCTATAAAATCTTTCTGATTACAATAAGTTTGAAAACCAACACTATCTATTGATGACTGCTAAATATGCCTGCTTGTTCTTATAAGGGGATGCACCGTCATGCAAAAAAGCAGGTTTGCAGACGTGAGATTTTTCGAAATTCTGTTCTCAAATGCTTTTCTTATGACGCAGTATTCTGCTTGATATAGATCAACTGAGACTATCCAAAAAAGTCTACTTTGGAAGAAGTTATAATATTTTGAGTCTGAAAATTGCAAATCACACAGAACTTATGCAGCAACTAGTAGATATACTAAACATGAATGAGTAAATGTATCCGTCTGTAACGTTTTGACTTCCGAAGCCGCACTTGGTAACTATGCATAGCTCTGTACAATGCAGCAAAGGCTTCCATATTTATTTGGACAACCTCAGTGAGCTAATTTCCAAGCCGGATGTAAGTAGGATGGACACCGCTGCAGCCAAGAGGAAGGTTTTCACTTCTTTCTGCAGCGAAAACTTGTAGCCGCATATTCGTGTTCTTTTAGCCATTAATGGGTCATTTTCTGTGCAGGTATAGGTGCAAACTGCGTTTCGAAGAGATTGTGATCTTCGTCCGAACGAGCATCCGCATATAAGGACGATAGATACCTGTTTCGGCATCCACGAAACCTGACCATTATTCGTTGTTTTATTGAACTAATTATTTATGCCAAATTAGCTTATCGATTGTTACCATCTTGTTTAATGTGTTTGCAATTAGCATGCATCTTCTTTCATCTTATGCACCCTTGTTCCATTTATCTTCCAGGCTCACAACATTATTGCAATGATTTTCTCTTAGGATTTTTCGAATGAATTCAGCATTTGCAATGAGATTGTATATTCCTTGTACATTGCTGATTCAAGTTTTATGTAGGAAGATCTATAATGAGCAGCAACAAAAAACTTCCTTGATTGAGCATTCTCTCTACATACCTTGTTACACTGATGCCTTATCAGAAACTATAATGATTCACCTGACAAGGGAGGGTGATGGAGTCGAAGTGACCAATCACTACAATCTACATATCATTAGTGAGAGCTTGGAACGTTGATTCCGAATCTGCTTTCTCTATCTGCAGAGCGCCTTTGGTAAAGAAGTTACGAGCATATTCGACTCGAAAAATGGACCAAAGACCGGTATAAAAACAATTTTTGCGCCTTTCTAGACATCAAATGGAGAAGTACTGATATAATAGGCAGAAAGAGTTCATTGTATGCAGAATCCTGGCATTTTCCGCTGCTTCATTTAGAGTCTAAAAAGGCTGTAACGATGGATACACTAACCATTAACAATTTCCGACTCTAAAATGCTCATAACTTCTTCTCCAAAAGTGCTCTGCAAGTATGGAGGGAGGTGAGATTTGGAATCAGCGCTCCAAGCTTTCACTAAAAATGTGCAGCTTGCAGTGATTGGCCAATTCGACTTCGTGACCCTCCCTTGTGAGAAAAATTCAAAATAATTTTTATCCGTCATTCTTGGCTCTCAGATTATAGCTGTGTTCTGCTGTTTAGGCAGTTTTTTGCGGGTTTTTTGCAGTTCGCGACGGCATCACATTTCCAAACTTATTCATGATATTAGATGTTTGTGATGTTCATGATTTCATGGCTTCAAGTGTAATATTTAATCACTTCAATCTGAAGAGTTCCCACTATAAGACAAGTCTTGTTTTTGCAAATGAAGTTTCATAGTGATAAGTCGTGCATTTTCCAAGCGCTACTACAAACTGACAAAAAAATGATTTTTGAATTTTTTCTGCTTGACATACTACATCTTTTTGCTACTCTAGATGACTTATTGAAAGAAAACTAACTAAAGACGATTCAAATTTTTTGGAACTCTCAGCTTCTTGAGGTCTTGTTATATCGCTGTGTTTCTCTGTCATCTCGTTAGCATCATTTTTGTACAGTCAACACTCGAGCAGTTCTAGTTGGTTCAATCTCTTATGGTTTCGTTTTGTGGAGAAGCAAGAAATTGGTACTCGTAATCCTGGACCGGGAGCTGAGCGCGTTGGATGCGCAGGTGGCAAAGACCATCGCAGCATCCAAGCCCGCTAGCTGGTGCTCTTCTTCTAGCGATCGTTTTTCACATTTTGCGCTCTGTGCTATTTTTCCCTGTGCTTTCACCAAAGTGAGTTTGCACAACGTCGAAAAGCAGAGCTTGTAAAGCACAGTTTAGTATTTCTCCAACAATAAGATCCTCTGCTCCGGCTATTGCTTTCATCTCATCCAGTGATCCAAGAAAGGTAAGCCATATTTACATTCGACAGTTCCAACAACTGCAAATTCAGACTGCCCTTTGCGAAAGAACTTGGGTGAAGCATCTGACAAGTCATATCATTTTCACTTCGCAAAAAAGGAACACTCGCAACACTCATCAAGTTCATCTACCACACGACCCGGGATCGCTTTGGTCCTCTTTCAGGTATACTGTAATTCTGGGTATACTTCACGCAATTTAGCCTTATTTAGATATCTTTGAACACAACTCTCGCAGATTAAAAATACAAAGTGTGTAGAAGTTCCTTACATTGATAAAATTGCTCTACTTCTGTAGGTTCAGAATGCCCCTACGAAGACTTATAAACAGTTGGAGTTATGCCAAATCGCGTTAAGAGTGAATTCGCATGAAGTATGCACGCGGCCTAATGCCTGATTTCCATATGCAAAAAACATATGTAATGTCGCCTAGATATTTTTTTTATTTCTAGTTCTAAAGCTCTTTTTGCCGAGCTTTATGTCCCTCATCATTACTCTTGGTATATTATCACATCGGACGATACGTACGTACTTGTCGACGATCTCATGCAGGTATGAGGGATTTTTGTCATTTTTGGTAAAGTAAGTGCTTCGATTAAGGACCTGGCCGCTTTCGACTCCGATGAGCCATATCTTGCTGTCATTGGACCAAACGACTTCGAAGAGGTTAGAGAATTTGAGCCAATTTCCTTTTGACTGCTTTCTAACTGTGGCTCATGTAGCCAATTGTGCAAATCGTCCATGGGATCTTCAGGCATAGATTTTGCCCATATACTAGAAGATTTTTTGGTTGCAAGTAAAGGTATTATTAAGGTAATATTCGCTTATACAAGCTGCTTTTGAAAGGAGAGCCTATGACAAAGTCTGTAAGCCATTGTTCCCTACTTTGCGCTAAAATCTTCTGAAAACCATAGTTCTGCAAAGTTTCGCGTTTTTAAAATGCAGATAATAAACAAAGTATTGCGGAGACTTATGTGTTTGCTTAACATCGTGCCATATAAAACCTGTTGTAGCTAGCAAAAATTACGAGCTATGAGATTCTCACTCAAACATGATCGTTGCAGTAGCTATTTACGAGAGAGTAAAACAAAAGCAGAATTAGCTTTAAATGACAAGGTTGAAGGGGCCAAATGTTGATCGACATATCTTTATCCCGTTTTGTAAAGTGCTTTTCGAAAAAATCAAAATCTTCCTCAACAGAAATCTGCCGAAGAAACCAGTTATGGATTCGGTCACCCAAATAGTAACCATCTATCCAGATCGTTCTCAAAAAATTTTCTTACATCTTCCTTCGAACCCTTCCTTGCTCTTTCTCCCTTCTTATCTTAACAAGCGCGGCCAGTTTCATCCATTGTCACAATCAAGACTGACAATCGCACAAAATTTGTTTGATTGACAACTATACTTTGCTAAAAAAGGGAACAAAAGATGAAAAACTGTTTAAATAAAAGTCAACCGACAGGACATATACTTGACCGCGAGAAAAACGTTCGAAAAGAAGTTCTTAAGCGACCTTTTAGGTAGTCGACCCAAGTTTTGCGACCTTCGAGTCACTGGATACCCTAAGTACCACAAAAGCTGAAGTTTTTGAGCATATGTAGCGCTTGACAAATTATTGGGTTGCCAAAAAACTGATGAAGCTTCCCTAAAGTGGCAGAATGAATATCAGACGTTGAATAAGGAAGACCGTACGAAAGAGCAAAGCAAGCTCTACAAGATGACTATCAGACATGAGCTTAACTTGTTGCCATGCAATACTCAAAAGTACGAAAACTGGAGTGCTCTAAAGGTCCGGTCTCAGCGAAACAATCCCGCGCTCCTCGCCAGTTGGTCATACTTATGATAGACATCTAAAGTATTGATACACTTGCTGTGATTTCTTTCCACTAAATTTGAAAATAGGGTAACTGAAAATGTATCTCCGTCCCCCAGCGAACCTGGATCCCTCTACCACTCATGCGTCAGTATGCTCATGCGTCAGTATGACTATTCCAAACTTAACAGCACCAACCCAACCTCAAAAACAGTATTAATTTCTTGACAAACTAATGTGTCCTGTAGCATTGGCAGCAGCATTATTCGCAGTATAGTATCTGCTTGAACAGCCTCTTTCTTGCTTTGTTTCAGTGTTATCAAAGCCTCCAACTACTTGCAGAGCCACTCGAAGCGACTGCATTCGTTGATTGTGGTATCAAGAGGAGCTATGACAGCTCTGTGGGACAACATCCATAGTGGACGAAATGGATGTGGAGTCGCGAGCTCACCACATTTGTGTTTAGACGACATTGTGATGCTAAATCTCAAGGAGGATGCTCATGAGAGGTCCCGGTAAGATTGCGCGGTTACTAATCGCTTGAATGATGCAAACTTATTGTTCTGAAAATAACGTCATGATTACCCTTTTCTTCGCTTCAATTCTTCAAGTAAAAAAAGCATGTTAGGAAAAAACATTAAAAAAAGTTTTCGGAACAAACTTTGATTCTAGATACTTCATGCTCAATAGACACTTCTCAAAATTTGAAATAAATCACTATGTTAGACGCAATGGACGCTACTACGACGGATCGCAGGTCAGTATGTTTCAGTCAAAAGGATCAGGTAATTACTGAGCTTCTGCACATATGTTATTTGTTTTATATAAGGATTTCTTTCATTCAAAAGGGAAAGTAAAGGCATTAGAACTTTTTTTTTCATAGCAAAAAGGCAAAACCCCACAATGTTTCTAGATACCCCAATTTCACGTGTACAAGGCGCGGGGGACCACCCCAAACACGCCAAAAGACTTCGCTATCAATAGACCCTATACTGGGCTGCGTATTGCCTAAGAGAATTGTGCGGTATAAGGATCGTTTTCCGAAACACTGAAGCGTCTGAGCAACTTGTTTGAAAAAAAGTGCGCCTTGCATGTACGTGTGAAATTAGGGTAGATATAGCCGTCCAAAAGTATTGGGTGGATAAAGCTGATTTTCAAGCGTAGAGTGTACAATGTCTATATACAGGGTGTCCCAAAAGTATGTATCGAACGTTTGATCGTTAATAACTCTCTTCCCAAGAAGTCTTTTGCCTTGCTTTAGGTACCGTTTTGTAGAGCTGGCTTCAACTTAGATTTGCACTATAGAACGAATCACCCATCTTTCTTCATTACTGTAAGATTACGGTAGAAACTTGAAACATATGGTGTCAATGTGGAAAAAGCTGCCGTTTCAAAATTTTTCACAAAATCGTGAAAACTTGTGTAATAGGGTTTTTATGGACGCTGAGTTCAATAATTAACTATTCACAAGATTACGAAGCTTTCTAAACGGTGCAATCCCACTTTTTAGGAACATTGAAAAAATGGCCGCTACTTCTTACCTGGCATAACTCTTCAATGAAGCATCATAATAAGTTGGGAACTTTACAGTTATAATCAGCAACTCTAATTAGCCTAGTGTAAAAGTTTTAAGGCTGTTTTGTTTCCTTTCTGGGGCAAAATATGGCCTTTCATTGCTTAAAACCCTCCTTGAAGTTTCTACCGTAATCCTACAGTAATGAAGAGAAATGAGTGATTCGTTCTATACTGCAAATCTAAGTTGAAGCCAGCTCTACAAAACGGTACCTGAAGCAAGGCAAAAGACTTCTTGGGAAGAGAGTTATTAACGATCAAACGTTCGATACATACTTTTGGGACACCCTGTATATTCAACAAAACACTTCCACATTGTCTGATAGTTTTTCAAATCATCTTAAAGGCAACGGCCCGGCAGAATTTCATTTTCCAGTTTTCAGTTTTTCGGATCCTTCTCGCCATGGTGACCCATATCTGGGCTTTTCAGCGCATGAAAATGGCAAAAATGCGCTTTTTTCGAAGCAGCTTTCTAGGTCCACATTCAGGGAACATACGCCGGGAAAAGCCGCGGCCCTCCTTTTTCGTTCCAAGCCCCGCCCACTTCTGCACTGAATGCGGACCTAAAAAGCTTCGGAAAAAGCGCATTTTTCCATTTTCATGCTCTGAAAAGCCCAGATATGGGTTTCTCATCGAGAAGGATCCGAAAACGCGAAGAACTGGAGAACGAAATTCTGCCGTTTTCTTGTTGAATTTCCAAGGTACCATTTATTGCAATGGAAAAATGAACATCACAATTTCCAGAATAAAACAGCTCGCTTTTAAATTTTCTTGCCGGACTCAATCTTGCAACTAATTTTCAAGTGTTAAGTCAGAGAAAGGAACATTTAGTGACGTTTAGAAGAAATATGAAAAGTAATTATTCCGTAAGATTGTTAGCGTAATAGTTGATTTTTACAGATGCTCAGTCTTCTCAGTGATTGGCTGCTCAGCGTGCATAATCTCACCGTTCACGACTTCCGGATAGTTGATCTACTCCTTAACAAAATCAAAGTTTTGCCAAAGTTCTAAAAGAGATTAAGTAATATTTAGCTGTTGTATTTATATATGTAATGAACAGTTCTTTAATATGTTGTGCACAAACACTACACACACCTAATTTATCGCCGCCAGCAATCAAAACGTAGTCAACACACAACAGTAACAGACCCTATCTTTATCACATGAATAGTAGGGCAAGAAAACAGTGGGAACCGAGTAGTCGATGCTGCCCAACGTTATTGTCTTTACAATGCCCATAACGTGAGGACTACACGTTACAGGAATAACGTACACACGACGAAAACAAGCTACTCAACTTTCCTGCCAAACAACATACTAAAGAGGCGAACGGTCACACAAACACACGGCATTTGCAGGTGTCTGCGTAAGAATGCATCATATTCCTACAAAATTTCTGGTCATTATTCTTTTTGCCATCAGCTGCAACACAGAAAGTAAGTGCATTTTATGAGTCTAGCGCTACAAAAACTAGAGTATTCATGACATGGTGCTATCGGCTAATAATAAACTAGGTCGCTTTAGCTGTTCTTACAAACACTGCAGACAGATTTTTGTTCAGTGCTTGGTACCTCTGGAAAAAGCGTAAACACTTCTTGAGTAAAATTTATTTCGTTAAGAGAAAAAAAGAGAAAAGGCACCTCAATTCTCTCAATGTGCCCAAACTTGAGAAAATTTTGTGTTTTGATCAACATATTTCAGAATTGCAGATCACACATTTTGCTGTTATTCGCTAAACAAAAAAAATTGAGTGTATTCAATTATTAGGTCGTAACATAAGTTTTGTTACACGAAAAACCTTCACAACCTTTTCAGTAGATTTCTCCTCATCTTCAGATCAAGTGCAGGGTTGCAGTTTTACTATACGTGTCACACATAAAACTTCAATTTTTAAATTTTTTGAGTTTCTCTTTTCGAATTATTTTTGGAAATTTCCAACTTGCGTTATTGGACAGCCTAGATTTTCAAACTGTCTACGTAAAAGCGCCGATGTTTCCGGAAATCCATGAAAAATCTCAGAGCATATTAAAGAATGGGGGCATTGAAGTGCTGCCACAAAGTTGCTTTTATATTTGCTGCAATCCGCATCGTTAGCGTAAAAATGATGCCAATAAATAATCCTTTATCCATTGTTCATATGTGCCAAACATAAGACTTTGCTATTACTCCTAGAATTTTTTGGGAAAAATGAGAAAACTGTCACAAAACTTATATCACGACCTAATACAAACTCTCATCTCTACATATACTACAGCATGGGAACAAAGTTTAGTAAGCAAAGACCTAAGCTTTTGAAAAATTAGCCATATTGCAGCATGAATGCTCTCTGAGTAGAAAATTTTGTGGCATGAGATAGTGCAAACTTTTAACTATTAGGTTGATGCATAATTCCTGCACCAATATTTTTGAAATTCTATTACTTCATCCAATTCCAATGGAATTTTCCGGTTTGATATATTATGGAAAGAGAAAATCTTGCACTTTCTGAAGCTGTTCGAGTCAATATTCCGTGAGGGCATACCTCAGCGATATAAGATGACTAAGAGAAATATTCAAAAAGTGATTTTTCGATTTTTGATCACTAAAATTGCCAAACGTCTAATGGAATTTAAATTTATTTCCGAACTTAGTTTCGTGACATACTATTTTAACCAAGAGAAGTTGGTAGTGATTTGATGCCTGTACCAATAGTTACGAATTCCGATTTTTCAAAATTGACTTACTGATTTTGTTTCATATCGATTTTCTAAATTTTCCTAGAAAACACCACTTTTGATATATTAGGTCGGTGCAAAAGTTTTGTCAGTTGTTTCAATCCATCGGCAAACACGCTAGAATGAAGATAAACAAATGCTTCAAAGCGTATCCAATGCAGAAGTTCTTCCTCTTTCCAGCTGCTAAAATGATATTGTGTTTCGTTGCGAGATTGACGAGATATTTGCTGGAAATTACAACAACTCGTTTTTACCATGTCCGATTTTCGCTAATTTTCAAAATTTTTGTATGAGTTTCGGAGCAGCCCTAATGACCAGCAGATAAGGCAAACCTTTTGCCAACTTACGCAATTTTTTTCTTCTCTTCAGTTGCTTTTTCAGATTTTTGCTAAATAATTTTCTAAAAGTGTTGTGTTTTGGAAAAATCGCATAACCTGTTGTCGCATTAAACACTGCAAAACCTACAGAATACTGAGGTTTCAACACTCGTTTATTACTACCGCGACCATTACAAAGTAAATGAGCGATTTTCGCTTCAAATTATGAAGATTTTGAAACATAAATTACTTCAATGCGCACTCCTGAAATTGAGAAATACTGTGATTTTCCTCACAAATTTCGCCTGTTTCGGCAAAAAAAGACAAGTGCTAGAAGGAAAAAAGTTACATCGAATGGTGATGTAATGTTTCACATTTTATGTTCTACGAAGTTAAAATAGGCTGAATGTAAAACTTGGTCACTTCAAAAAATAAATCGTAGAAATTCTGAAAGACAAGCCATAGTGTTACAAAAACTTGCTTCTGTTGGCAAAAGGTTTGCCATAACTGCTGGTTATTAGGGCTCCTCCGAAAGTCTCATACAAAAATTTTGAAAATTAGCGAAAATCGGACATGGTAAAAACGAGTGGTTGTACTTTCCAGCAAATATCTCGTCAATCTCGCAACGAAAAACAATACCATTTTAGCAGCTGGAAAGAGGAAGAAATTCTGCATTGGATACGCTTTGAAGCATTTGTTTATCTTCATTCTAGCGTGTTTGCCGATGGATTGAAAAAACTGACAAAACTTTTGCACCGACCTAATACATAACAATAAGCATATTCTGGAATTGATTAGTCTGCTTAATCATTTTTAAAACATTTCTTATATTTTTGGTGCAGGAGTTGTGCACCAACCTAATACTTTTTCCATAATATTCATAGGTAAAAGCAACAGAAATTTTTTTTATGGAGATTTGCATGAATAACCAATCTATTTTCTAAACAACGTGGTAGTTGGCTACTCAAGAAATGTAGAGCATGGCAGAACAGTTATATGCAGCGTGCTTATCAAGCCTATCGCCTAGAGTGAGTGCTATCGCAAACTCATGATGATCAGCATAATGCCCAACTTCAAAAAGCAACTTTTCATTGTGAGATGACTGATTTTCAAATGCCGCTTCTATGTTCTCTTCCCCTACCATCCGTTATACCAATCCAATTCGTTCCTCGACAGTAACGATGAGGACATTCCGATCTCACGCTTTCCTTTTCTTGACGTTTTGGGTAACGTCGTCAAAAGTCATTGAATGCTTTTATATAGAGATATACCTGGCTCCACGAGTGGTAGGTACATTTGATAGGTCATTCAACAAATTTTCGTTTCCCGATCAAGTGATTTAAAATTGCAAAGCAGCAACTGGGAAAAGAACTTACATTGATATAGCCTTGCTTCATCTTTTAAGGTAGTTAAAAAACAGGCGTGACTAGCGCCACCAAATATGTCTGCACAATTTTTTCTTTAATTTTCACTTTGCTTGCAAAGATAGAGAGGCACACATTACTGGTGTCGATCATTATTCTACTAATGATCTTCCTGCAAAATCTCGGTCCGCTATGATCTTCTAAATAAAAACCACTTTGTAAGCAACAGAAGAATAAAACTTCGCCCTTTTTGAGGTGAGCTACAAAGTGTTACCTTAAGCAGACAAAGTGTGTATCTAAAATCGACATTGCGTAACCTACTAAAAAAAACAATATTATGAGCAGTCAGCTCCGGAGGGATTTTCCTAAAAAAACGAAGCAACGAAACGAAACAAGTTGGGGTCGAAACATTTGTCACTATTTGTCCTTATACTCTCCGCTTGTCATAAATTCCATCAGTAACCCACTGCAGTTTTCTCGCCAATACGCTCTTTGGGTTGTAAGTTCTGTATTACAATTACAGCGAATTTTTCTCCGGAGGGGACTGCGTTTTCCTCGGTAAAAACCAGAAAGTGGTATGTTTGCCGTGTAGCGGTCAAATTACTGGCTATGATTATGAGCTGGACATGAATGTCGTATATGTAGCTTGAGTAACCAAGAATTAGGACTTGTTTTCCATATTGAAAAGCAATGTAGTGCAATGAGAATTGACGAATTTCGCACAGAGCTTCGATATGGAGCTGACAGCCGCAAAACTGCAAGAACATAGGTCTTGCTGTAGTTTTGTAGCAATCATTCGGAAACTCTTGTGAAGCTCCGTCGAATTGTTTTGAGAAGCTAGCTATGTGTAAATCTTACTGCACGATGGGTAGGAGAGAAGGTCGTGTCAGCAGAGCTTTAAAATGTTATTTGAAGAAAAATCTTGCATGAACTGGAATTTGGCTAATAGTCCAGCATCACTGAAGGAGTTATTCGAGAGCTGGGTTATACACAGTAAGCAAAAGCTTCTTTCGGGTTTCCAGAAACTATGTACTTTTCAAGCTGAAAATCAACCCAAAAAGAGGTCACTACAAGACCTTAGAGTAAATTTTGCAATCAAATTTGGAAATCAACCCAAAAAGAGGACACTACAAGACCTTAAAGTAGATTTTGCACTCATATGCTTTCCTAAGAAGGTTTGATGTTTGCTAGTAAAAAATCTCAGCATTAGAGAGGAAATTACAGGAACGCAGATGTGATGATGATTGTAGTAGCAATTTTATTCAAACGTGATGAGCACTACTCATGCTTCGAATTAATATCAAAAATGAAAATTTTGAGTGTCTTTGTGATAGCAGATCTGAGAAGATCGCTACGTGTACTAATAAGTAACCGTTATCGCGCATAGAGGTCTCTAGATGGGCTTTTCGTTTCCTTTGCTAGATGCACAACTTGAAGCTTTCTTTGTCTAAGCCTTATTTCTACCATTCTACGCGTAAATTGGTAAGTTAAATTCTGATTTTAGCCTTATAATTGCAGTGTGCATAAGCTAGCTGGTTTCCATCTTGATAATCATCGTGAACGATTAGTCCCACACTAGAGCAAAAATGTCATCAAAAAGCAAAATTCCATTATCATGTCAAAAGCAATAAACTCATTCAGCATGCGTCGATTCATACTGTCCACCTGGAAAATATTGCCAGGAGCGAGTATTTCCTTGCAAAAAACCACCTTGCCGCCCGATTCTGTTTTGCCTACCAGTTGAAGAAAATGGTAATTTTGTGTACTAATCCACTTTATTTCCAAACAGATTGATTAAGGTTGCGCACAACACAAATGCCCAGCAAATGAAGTATGTGTAGAAAGAGTGGAGCCATGCATTGCTAAAGTCTGCAAGAAGATACCATCTTGTGCCAAACCCGGAAGTAAGCTGGTACTGTAGAAAACCTCATATTAAGCTTAATTCCAGCGTGTGATGCTCTGGTCTGCCCGCCTTCGCAACACTGCGTTGCCAATCCTACGCCGAAATGTGAATCAGTGAGACAAGTACGAACCTCGGAACCATTGGACAGCTCATCCATTGTTGGAAGCTGAGAGCTCCTGACAAGGATTAGACCCGAAAAAATAGGCATAGAAGCTTTGGACGAATTACATTGTGTATGTTCTTCCGATTGCTGTCATTTCGCTTCATTTAAACACTCAGCTTCAGTTGGCATAGCTTGTGGGACGCTGGAGCAGTGCAAAGCTAGGACATTTTTACCGGTCCTCTTTGTGGATTGTTTATAAACATTACTTATTTTGGAGTCCTACTCCTTCTCTTAAGACGATAATAATGCGAAGAGAGAACCAAGAATGGGCGGTGATATGATATATGCATGGGATAAGTAAAAATAGTGATATAAACATAGCATCCAGCTCTCTGAGAAAAGTTGACCTAAAGCGTTCTAGCACAGTTTCGGCACAAGATTCATGTTAAAAACTGGAACCGTGCCAGCTTTTAAGGTCCAACTAGTTCAGTCTTCTTCCTCATTTGGTCGTAACACACATGAAGGTCTATTCGGTTTTTTGACGTCCTTTGCTTCATTGGAAAAAATTGAAGACGAACAGTAATTGTCATACAACTCGTTTATGAGCAGTCAGATTTCCTACAGAAGTGAGAGCTGATTTATAGTACAATTCGGTTTAAAAAAACCAGGTTATACGGGAGAGTGTTCAGAGTCGCCAAACTATTACTATGGCTTTTAAATCTTACACTGGCCTAATGTCTGCCTAACTTAGCAGAACCTTATAATAGAAAGTCAATGAAATTGATGGCCTTGTCTCCGATACTTGGAGGTAAAGATGATCGGTGCGTGTGAGCTGTAAAACTACTCGTCTATTCCCACTATATTCCAAAAGTCTTGAGCCTTCTATTAGGTCGTTTCATAAGTTCGTCGACTTTTTATTTTTGTCGTCGTTTTTCGATGAAGCGGTTGGTTTACGGCAAAATACCTATACCAATGAAAAGAGAAAATTTTGCTCTACAAGAACTGTTGTTCGTTTTTGGAGCAAACTTGAATCCCCTTCTTTTACGACTTATCAAAGCAAAATTTTTTGAGAGGCAAAAATTGGCGATTGCGGCAACTGCACTTTCCGCATTTGGTCCGTATTCCGCAAGATGTTTCTGTCATAGGTAGGCGGGATGGATAGTAGCAAGCAAGACTGAAACATTGACAAATTTGCAGCATGCCAATATGCATAGAACCGTTTGAACAAGGTCCCAATGGTTTTGTTGTCTTTGACTGCTGCCGCTTGAGTTTGGCGCGTTGTTCAGCGACACAATGTGTCGGTCCTCCTATCGGAACTTGAGGAATGGATGCGTTCTTCTAAGTGGTGTAGATGTATGAGTACAAGCTCTGACCAACATTTTACGCTTTCTTAAAAAAATTTTTTGACGTGGGAACTTTTCAAAATTGTGCCAAACGCAAAACATCTACACACATGGTAAACGTGCGCTTAATCTTTCTTTATAGCCTCTCTTTGGATATGGAGACTACTTTTATATGCACCGTAGTACCACAAATAGTTGTTTCTCATCACTCTTAACAACTTCAGACAAAAAATTCCCACTTGTGGCTCCGTATACGGATCGAAAGTTGCAGTTGCCGCAATCGCCAATTTTTGCCTCTCAAAAAATTTTGCTTTGATAAGTCGTAAAAGAAGGGGATTCAAGTTTGCTCCAAAAACGAACAACAGTTCTTGTAGAGCAAGATTTTCTTTTTTCAATGGTATAGGTACTTTGCCGTAAACGAACCGCTTCATCGAAAAACGGCGACAAAAATAAAAAGTCTACGAACTTATGAAACGACCTAATAGATAGTTATTCGGTTGCAACAAAAGTTCACATGATTTACTTTCGGAGTTTCGTAACTTCTCGCTTAATCTGCCATGTTTTTCTAGAAAAAAACTTATGTACTCAACAGTAGTACTTTGAAGCACTCCGCTAATTTATTCGGGGAATAAAAGTAAAGGAAATACTTGAGCTGCGTTCGCTCTCAATCGCGTCGCCAGAATCTTAGTCATTGTAAAAAAAAAAGATCCGGAACAGTAGGTACAAGAGTTTATGACCTACTCCGAGAATTTGGCTAATCGAGGCTTATAAAATACCAGTATTTGAATGTACATTACGGCCCAACAGATGGCGAATACAAGAAAGCTACTATCCATTTAAACATGCCTTTTCCTATAGCGCCGGCTGCACAGTGCTCACTTAATGCGCACTTTCCTTCTTTGGCTTAGATTTTCGATGTTATTCCGGTAGAAAGGAGTGAAAAAGTTTGATAATTTTTCCCATTCACTAAAGAGTAGCTGTACTGTATTTAGGTTGGAACCACGAGAAAGTTATGTAAACTGAGAGTTTTGCCACTGTCAAAAGGACGTGGTTGTCTTTTTGATTTGGGAAAATTTAGCCATGCTCTTCATCCAAGTAGCTTGCTCGTAAAGTTCTTTTAACTTAACTTCATACTTATTCCTATTATTCGCTGCCCACGTAAACACAAATTTGATGACATGATGCTGCCCGTAAATTGCCAACGTCACTGCCAAGCATTTTGTTTTGTGAAATTTTTGAATGAAAGTTGCAAAAACAGTTTGCAAAAACACTTTATCCTGAATTGTCTCACTATTCGACTAGCCCTTATGCGTTCGCACTCAATGTGGCGCTAGATGTTACTTGTGACTGTAAGCGAGCGAACTGCGTTCCACTAAGAAAAAGTGAATATCAGAAGTTCTGATTTTTTTGAATCTTTTCGAATGAGCAATACCTATTTTAACACGTCGTTCGTGTAAGCGCGCGTATTGTGGCTGAGAATGTTCAACATGTAGTTATGGTATCTCCTTTTTAGTGGATCGAGGGCCTCTTGGCTTGAACAACACATTGTAGCCCTTAGTAAGAACTCTCTATTTTCTTGACGAGCGTGGAGAAATTAGCAGGTCATGAGATGACCCTTTTGAGAGTCCATTTTGCTAGAAGAATCTAGAAGAGTAAGCTTCTTGGTTACCTTGAACCAAAAAACATGGCTTGCATATTTCCAAATCGAACAAGTGCATATCACGAAAAGGTGAGAGCTCAATTCGGGCCAGAAAGCAGTTTGATCCTATTCAAAGTTTTGCAAGATCCATACATAAGAACAAGTCGTCCTTGTTGGACCTATTCTCAGATAATCGCCGGTGGCAGACGGTCCGCAAACTCGCGCTTTTTTGCAAGAGGCAGCAGAATTTTGGGGCGTGGCCAAACCTTCGCGAGCGGTACTTCCTTTACTGCCTAATGTTCCGCCAGCGTGAAGCAACCAGCATTTTCTGCAAGCGCTCGGCAAATAATTTTTTTCAGCGAGGGCTGGCCAAACTTTCAGCAAGCGCTCGGACTCTTTTTACGCACTTTCGGGCGTACGCCGAGGAAATGTGAGGTTTTTACGCAGTTTCGGGCGTACGCCGAGAAAAGGTGAGACTCTGTGTGGCAGAGGTATTATCGATGGTTAAATCGCCCGAGTTTGGGGTACATTATTTCAGCGGAAGGTACCCTGGGCAGTGCGGTCCTTCACAAAGGACCGTGCGGCCCCCAACAATTTTGCATATTGTCGTAGAAGGTCCGAATGCGGCCACTAAGCCGCAACTTATCCATAGAAAAATCGCGATAGTTCTCCTAGCGTTCGTCTTAAATTTGGCCAAAATTATTCCAAATTTGTGCCAGCGGACCGCAAGAAATCAGCGAACTATTTTTCCGGTCTCCGCCTGCCCTCAGCGATTAACTGAGTTGCTGTCAGCGCGTGCTCTGCAGAAATCTGGCTGATGGCGCTTCCTGTAACTCGCTCCACAATTTTTGTGACAGACGGAAAATCACAAGCAGACGCGAGGATAATCATTAGACCGTAGTCATTGAGTAAATCGAAACAGAAGCCCTCAAAGATATACGGATACCGCAGGACGTGACGATATCCTTACAAAAGATAGCGTGTTTTCTAGGACTCAATCCGGCAACCTGCCAGCATCTCACCATCAGAACGCACTAAACTCTTCGAAAGCCATCTGCAGGTGAAAAGCTATATTTCTGTTCATGCAAAAGCGGGCATTAAAATTCAATTCGTTTAACAATCATATTTATTTTGATTAAAAGCCATTGACGAATTGGACTTGAAATAGCGAAAACTGAATCTCTCAAATGTACTCCATTGATGGGTGGAGCGGCGCTTCAATAAGCAGCCTATTTAATTCTGGCTTGGTCTTGGCATATTCTTTGATGGATTTTCTTGCGTTTGGACCAACTCTTAAACGTACGGCACAGCGGGCAAGCGAATGCGTGCTGAAAATAAAACGAACAAGCATAAATGAAAAATGTGATTGCACTTGCCTGTGAACTACAGAGTCACACCGTTTTGTAATTTGATGAATGTAGTGAACAGTGAGTAGAATAAAGACTATAGTAATTATATTAACGATCATGGGACCGAGCGTCATAAACTTCAACCATATTCCTATCTAGAAAAAGAATCTTTGAAAGACTGGCAACTTCGGGAGGTAGGTGAAATTCTGGGACAAATACCCGAGTATTTGTTATGTATGTATACGCATATATAAGTATGCAGTTATAAATACATAAATTTGTACAATTATGTAGTTTCGATCGTCGTTAAGATGTTGGAAGTTGATATACAGTCGCTAAACTGCACTCCCGTCGAATCGCCGCACGCAGGACTGGCCGTAAATTGCGGGACGCGCGCCGCGGGAACAAATCCTTGAATTACCAATCGTTTTGTGCAAGTCGTGCTCTGAGGTTTCTGACTTTGAGTGAGGTTTCTGCGACAGCTAGCAATACATTAACTTACTCAGAATCATATAGGCTCAAGCCAGGCACCTATGGTTTGCCGCTAGCAATATTACAGATTTCCTACCTTTTATACAATGCGCGACCTTAAAGGCATCGTTCACCCTTAATTGGGGGTTTTGAGCTCTTGGCAGCTTACGATAATAGGACCTTTAACAAACCAATGCCCAAGCAGCGGCAAAGTGTTGTTTCAAAAGCGAGAAAATCGCTTCGACATAGCGAAGAGGCATTAGGACCCCGATTCGGCACCGCGCCCATCCAATCACCGTTCCGGAGGACTGGCCTGCAGATTCTCCGCAACGGTGATTGTGGAGGTTTTCGCGGATTTTGGCGTCATATTCGGAACAACATGGGAAGGCCTCGGAACGACCAAAACTGGAAGTCGAGAATCTGGGTGGACGATGCCTTCAAGACGCTCCTTTCCTCCCTCCCTCTTGATTTTCAAAAATGGCATTGTTTGCAACAGTTCTGTATGGATTACGGCTAACGGCTTGTCCCATCAGTCGTATTGTGATACTTCACCATTCTACGCTTTTCTTCGCAAGAAACTCGTTATTCTTGCCAAAAATGCGAATAATTATCAGATTACAATACCGCTCGCATTTTTTGAAATTAGACGCGAATGTATGGACATGTATGGACATGTACGGACATGTCCATACATGTATGGACATTATACTTTGGACCGAATCGAATAAATATTCGAGTATTCGAATAAAGTATTCGAATAAATTTTATTCGAAATTCGATTATTCGAAAATTTAAAAATCTTGAATATATTCGATATTCGCTTATTCGAAATTTGTCAATTTCGAATTTATTCGATTATTCGGTTATTTGAAAAATTTCATTTTCGAAAATATTTGAACATTCGAATATTTATTTTCAGAAGTTATTCGATTATTCGACAATTTCGTATAATCGAATAACTAAATGACAGCGTCACAATTTTGATTGCTATACTAGCAACCATCGTTTGTTGACCAAGTTGCCCACTGCATGGAGTCCTTCACTGTGCTAATTCGATCAAAATTTGTTTGAATATTCGACATAATCGATGCAAAATATTCGTTTATTCGGATTGTTTTTTCAAATATATTCGAATATTCGGATTTTTTTCAATTCAAATATATTCGATATTCGATTATTCGACGATTTTCTTATTTCGAAAATATTCGATATTCGATTATTCGACATTTTTGTTTCTCGAAAATATTCGATATTCGAATATTCGACATTTTTTGTTTTTGAAAATATTTGAAATTCGATTATTCGACATTTTTGATTCTCGAATATATTCGGTTATTCGAATATTCGAAAAAATTCTCGAATATTCCAAAGTATAATGGACATGTCCGTACATGTATGGACATGTCTCGCTTCAGAGTGAACGAATTCTGAATCCAAAGCCACCATTCGATTCATCTCCGCGCGGAGAATCTTCTGATATATTGGAAGTGGGGGTACAATGTCTTCGATATTCCGTTTCCCAGTTTTTTCAATTTGTTCTGCGGAGGTCCTTTCGCGAATATGTGAAGCAACGCCTACCCAACATAGAAGACTTTACTAAGTACTATTCGATAATACTGTTCTTGTAGATTATTGTGCGCTAAAAAATAGGCTTAGACTTCTTTCCAAAGGAGATAGAAGCGTTGGTAAATTTTGGAAAAATCACGCGTTTTTAAATTCTACTCGCCGTAACTTCCTTCGGAATAAGTATATTTTGAATCCGAAAACTGCGCCTTGCTCAGCTCATCAAGGCGAATCTTCTCATATACAGCATGTCCTTGATATTTCGATTTCAGTATTTTTAAATCTTTCTGAGGACGTCTTTTCGCGAAGGTGTAATGCAGCGAGCATTGTCCCGAGTACATTTCAGCAAAGATCTATAGCACTTTTTCTGTAGATTATGATGTGCTATATAGTAGCCGCAGGTTTCTTTTCAAAGGAAATAGAACGGCTGGTGAATTGTGGAAAAATCTTGTCGTCCCAAATTCTACTCGCCATATCCGCAGGATACGAAGCTATCTTGCTAAGCAGATGTGAGTTTCGAAATCAGCAGGTCGCATAACCTTTACGAGCAAGTTAGTACTCTGCGTTGATACCACTGCTTT